CTTCATGGTCATGATTTCTATTGTGTTTTCTTCATGAATTATTAATGAGTTTTCTAATATAGGAAAACATTACGCCAAAGGTAAATAGGTCTATTTCGCCTGCTGTGTTCATAGCAAAAATAACCTATTTATATCTTATACAGCGGCATATACAAAGGTATCACGAACGACTTAATTTTTCGCCAAACATTAATAGGGATGGGTATATTAAAATTTAAAAATTATAAAATCCAAAGAAATGCCGTTTTTTACCWTAGCTTTTCAAGGAGACTGCGACCAGGATGATAATGGAGATTTCTCAACACGGTATTCCTGTGTTTGTCTATCGAGAGAAGTTGAAAACACCATCCATACATTCAATATTACTAAAAGGAATAGCGAAKAATAAACTAATCTGTGTGAACTATCGCTTCTCTTTCATCATATCCTCACCGACACACAGAATAATAACGTTAACGATGTTAAGTGAACGCGGGAACTAAGAAAAAGAGACTGTTATGTCTTAGTGGTTAGTTTGCTATTTTCAATAATGAAATTACGGCCAATACTTAAGTTCCTGTTCGGCTCCTCGTTACTCGTTTACGGCAAACGCTAAACGTCAGTTGACAAGCAGAATTAGTGAAAAAGGATCAAAACAAATTCTCAAAATGGTAGAGAAATAAAAGAATACTTGTCCTTGGTGAGGTTTGCCAAATGTAAAGTGAAATGCAAAAAAAAAAAAAAAAAAACGACGAAAACGAGGTCACGCCTGCTTTTTGCGGGAAGGAATAAAGAATATTTAATTTGTCTAATTTGCTGACTATAAGCGGCTTGGGGTGTTATGAAGGATTCAAAAGACCTGGGGGAAATGTACTGCGCATGTGTTAGGAATTGGCGGGGAAATCGCGGATGCCATCAGAGAGTAATGGATGCACTTTAAGTTGTCGAGTTTCATATTGTTACGTGGAAGGACTGGGTCGAAACTGGACAGATCCAATGTATATTTATATTTCACAGTCATTTTTGTTCATTCGGTCTAAATCTGGCTACACTTTGTTGTTCTCAATTGTATTATACAAGTATAATATATTTTTATGCAGCCTGGTCAACAGTTTTCCAGTCTCCCCAGTCCTCCCGCTCGATATAAAACTCGGCAACAAAAGTTGATCTTAGGAAATGGACTTTTGTCGACTTTCCCACAATTCTTTACGACATGCATTCCAATTTTCCATTAAACTTCATCAAATGACAACAACAAGAGTGTTCACGAACCTTCGTATCTTGAGAAGTCCAGTTTGGTTTCCAAAGAATCCGGGTGAATGAGAAAGCCACACCAAGGGAAAGGCTCGTCTCGACCGACGCAACGCACTGGGATCCCATCACTATCTGTCGTCTCATAGTTAGCCAGTGTCTTCCTGGAGGTGATTTGGCAGCCATAGTCAGGTATCCCAGCATGCATGGTGCGCAGAAATGTGTCCGCGAGGGCTCGGTTGGGCGATAGGAATAAAAAGTCATCCACCCAACGCATCAAGAGGGACAATTCGTCTTGTATAACTTGTTGCAGGTAGCGCTTTTCCATGTGGGAGTAGAAATAGCTGCAGAGGTATGTTGAAAGAATGGAGCCTTGCGCAATTCCTTGAATGATAGAGATATTACGTCACAGTCCTTTTCTGAGATAGCGAACATGGTGCATTGTGGTCTAGGTTCGGTACAAACAACACCATATAAGGCATGATGGACAAAAAATGTTTGTACCCAAGCTAGAAAACAATGCGTCCTGTTTATCGAACTCAGAAAATGCCTATGGCATTTTTTCAAAAAATGGAAAAAATCATCTAAGGCCTATGACGAAAATTGAAAAACTAAACTAAAAAGAATGTGGAAGAGTGAAAGGCAAGAGGCGAGTGCACAACGCCTACACCACTCTTAAATCCTCCACCCCCAATGTAATACTGCATGATATCGATTTATAGGATAAAACTAACCTTGAACTTGCTTGTAGAATTTACTGCCAATCTTGACGATGTTATCGAAGAGATGTCTTCTCAGCAGAGCAAGGATGTTCTCTCTATCTTCACAGTTGTAATAAACTTGATCGACAAAGATCACGTTGTTGAGATTATTTTCCTGGAACGAACAGAAATCCCTTATCTAATCGCTGTTGCTGCTGCAACTGTCATTGCTGCTGCTGCTTTTGTTGCTGTTGCTGCTGTTGTTGCTGCTGCTGCTGTTGTTGCTGCTGTTGTTGCTGCTGTTGTTGCTGCTGTTGTTGCTGCTGTTGTTGCTGTTGTTGCTGCTGTTG